CGTAACAGCATTCACATACTTATTGTGAAGGAGTCAAACAGAGCAAATGCGTCCAGATTCGCCTTGTTGCACTTTGTGGAGACTGACCATTTCCAAACATCAGTAACACAGCCTGACAAGCGTTTCACACCACCAACTCAAAAGTAACAGAATGTTAATCGAGATTGCCCAGCCTCATGTGCTCTGTGATGGTCTGATTCGCCATTATTAGCTCGAGTATCGAGCTTGCCATCCAAAACATTTTAGGATCATCGTCGCAAAGAAAACTCGCATCATTTCGTGCTGTTTTAGCAGGTCTGGCGTGACACTCAGGAAACAGTTCTGCCACTCGTGCAAGGGCGCCCAGCGACTTTGCAAGCGGCGTACCCTCAGGAATCCACCTGGTTATCCTTGCCTGGAGCTGTAGCAGCTATCGCTGGGGGCAGACTGTGGTTGGCCTTGATCATACTCATCCAGGCCAAGTCCTCATCATCGTCGCCCCCCCGACAGGTACCGTATTTTCCGGAGTATAAGCCGCACTTTTTTTCGCTAAAAATCGGACCAAAATCGCCCCTGCGGCTTATACACCGAATATGCTTGCGCGAATGAATGCTTAGCATACATCAGTATGCATGCTGACGTCATGTGACATGTCATTCGACTCAGCTTCGCGCCTGTGTTGCTGATCAACATCAGTGGCAGCGAGACTGAAGATAGTGCAGATGACATGGCGTGATCTGTAGTCAACCATGGTCAACACAGCAATACACCAACATCTCTGCAGCAACCTGTGGTGCACTAACACTTCATAATTTGATCTAACAAGGTATTTAGCTCAATAACCATAATAAATTTGTAGAAAGGCCATTTGTCAATGAATGTGAAAAATCTTGGTTTGTGGGTGCGGCTTATACTCTGAATATCAACTTTTAGTCAATATTTTGCCTCAAAAAGGGGAGTGCGGCTTATACCTCGGTGTGGCTTATACCCCGGAAAATACGGTAAGTACCGCGTGTCACTTGCGATCGATTCGCCTGACATGCGCTCTCAGAACTAGAAGCGCTGTCGCCGCTTGACAGGATATCCACAAAGAACGATGCGTCACCGTCCAAGGGATCGTGGCTGCTGTGCTCCGTGAGCCCAATATTGGCAATAACCAACTGACACAAGAATCGCCTTCAAATTTCTTCCGCCATTGTCGTCTCTGCACTTTGCTTTGACGGAATCGATTTTTTTGCGAACAAATTTTTTTGTGTTTTCTCAAAAAACCGCGTAGCCCCGAAGGTCGAAAGTCTCAGATATCGGGCCATATTATTCTGGTTGCGCTATGCAGAGCTCACTGACTCGGCAGTTTGAGCTCTGTAGCAAGGTACTTTCGGGCCTGGCCTAAATAACAATATCTTTGGAAAATTGAATTTTTCATTGCTATCAGGTTCGGCCTCATTTCCTCTGTGCTGCGCTGATGAGTGCACAAAAGACGAAACAGTTCTGTCTGCAGATCGAGTAGAAAGATCAGGGATGAATTTATTCGGTATCGCATCGCAGTTTGCGATGCAAAATCGATCTACTGTTACTCAAAAATTGCCACGACTAGCAGAGAACTGCAGTCCATATCCATGCATGGCTTGCGCTGTCAAGTCACATACGTACAGCGTAATGTAGGTGGTACGCACACATGTACTCTCAATTTGCGTGCACATGCATACATGCTGCAAGTTGGGTGGTCAAAAATCAAAGACTGCTGTACAATTGAAATTTAGCAAAGCAAAAACTGTGTCGCAAAATATGGCAGTCAATTCATCTCTGAAGCTAGACAGATAAATAGATGAATGGATAGATAGCATAGGCAGCAATCGCATGTTATTGAATAGCAACACATTTTGCGAATTGACTTTTTTCAGCACCACTTTTCAACAAGGACGAAGTAAAGTCAGCTGACCAAAGCCTTTAGGAAGAGAATCATTCTGTCCACTTTACCATCATGATTCTGACATAGGTTCGCTACGAAACAACTTCAAATCCTCCAGAAAACTGTGCGCCCATCGCCGCGCTGACTTTGGTCTGAGAATTCTATAACCATCAAAATGTACAAGGAGCACTCAAAAATCAGCTACCGAGACGTACCTTTGTCGCTCTCTACTCCCTTTCAAGGCATGAAAGTCGCCTGTCCACTTTTAAACCGGGATCAAGACACACTAGTGGTCCTTTTCAGCTGCTCCATGGTCACATGTACTCTTCACCAAGGGCCGCAAACCAGCATTCGTTCCAGAAAAAACGCTAACTTGAATTCAAGTGAAGCTGCATGCTTGAGTACATGAGTACACGAGTACAGTCATGCAGTAATTAGTCAATTTCAGTGTTTCTGCTCCAAACAGCAATGACTAGCTACAAAGATTGCATCAAGGGAACCGTGCTCTTCAGGTGTTTTGGCAGAAGGTGTAGACATCTATTCAGTCACTCACAAGACAGCCATTGTGCTAAACAGATCTTCTTTAGTTCTCTATCAGAAGTGCGCCATGTCATCTCTCTCGTGCTATACATAAAGCGGTACAAGCACGTGCATGCCTGCACGTGCGTACATAGTACTACATACAACTGCATGTACGATATCTACATTACCCCCCTTCCCTCAAAAAGAAAAAAAAAGAAGAAAGAGAAAAAAGGAAAACAAAAACAAAACAAAAACACTTGCATCCGTATCCTGCAGCTTGCAGAGGAATGTACGTACATGTGTTGGAGTAAAAGAGAGACGGGAAGTGTTGCAACTATTGGAAATAATCTGACTCAAACTTGAGGCAAAAACACCATGAGTTTGAGTTACAATGCAAACTCGACCAATAAGGGGAAAAAATAAAGAAAAATCTAAATATTCACAAGGTAGTTAGAAGATTCTAAACAACGCCAATCTGGTAGCGATTGAAGCCACTCATTTGGTAATGCATGACTCGACGACTCAGATGTCAGCTTCACGTGCTTTCTCTGTAAGCTTGATCTGACGGCCAGCTCTGGTCTGTACGCCCTCGCGGAATACACTTGGACGAGATGTTGGCGGTGACAGTGACATACAGGCCGGTGTTGCAGGTGGTGCTGTCGTCTCCGGTGAAGCTGCAGGAGACAACGGCAATGTGAGCGCAGTTACCGGAGCTTTGGGCCTGGATGTTGCACTGCTCGCTGACGGAAAGCTTGTTGGGTCGGCCACTGGCAGTGCTGGAGCACACACTGGCTCTGGCACATGCTGCCTCTCTGACTGTGCCGGAGGTTCACTCATGGGTGCTTTCTCCGCTGCTGCTGCTGGTGCTACAAACTCGGTAACATGCTGACGGTTCCGGAGCAGTATGCTTGACCCATCAGTGACCCCAACCTGACGGACCATACTGCTCTACTACCTTCCATTCTTTTCGAGGGTCGCTATACCCATCATGGAGCACTACCCACGTACCTGATGGCAAATGGGGTAACTTGCGGACACCTCGGCGCGAGTCATAACCTTCAACCATTGCTGCTTTCGCCTTGATCTGCTCAGATGGGTTGACGATCTGTGGGGTGATGGATGCTGGAACCCGTGTCTGAATGACTCTGCTGAACAACGCTTCGCTCGGCGATGTACCTAGCATCCGGTGCCGCGAATTGCGAATGTCGAACAAGACTTGAGTGATGCGGCGGTGTAGCGGTAGATGAGGTCTCAGACTGGCAACTCGTTCTTTCACCAGACGATGTAGTCGCTACACCATACCGTTAGAGCGGGCATACCGGGGGCTAGACTTGCAATGCTCAACACCCAACTGAGCGAGAAACTTGGACATCTCAGTGGATGCGAACTGTGGGCCCCAATCCGAGACGAGTGTTGAAGGCAGACCAAACCGTGCGAACAACTCCATCAGCTTGTCGATCACACCCGTTGTCGTAGTATTGGACAGTGGTAGAAGCTCTGGCCAGCGGGAACCATAATCAATAGCAGACAGGAACGTGGCTCCCTCAATGGTAACAAGATCAATGGCCAGTTTCTGCCAGACACCTTCTATCTCTGTAGAGAGGAGCTGTTGCGCTGGATTGGAGCGTTTACGCCAGCATTCAGAGCATTTCTCTGCAAACAGATTGGCATCCTTCATGAGACCTGGCCACCAAACCCGTTCGCGAAGGGTATCCCGGAATGCATCGATGCCTGGATGACCTTCATGTGCTAGTCGCAGCACCGCTGGGCGGAGCTCTTCTGGAATGATGTAGCGATTGTCTAGCATGACAATCCCGTCAATGACTGTCAACTGATGGCGTAGCAGGAAGTAAGGCTCTTCCGTTTGGATGCACCCTGACCAAATTGATGTGCCCACTCTTTGTCGGATGCTGCTCAGTGTCGGATCAGAGTCCGTGGCCTGGCGAATATCCTTGGAACGAACCGGACAAGCCTCGAGAATGAGACTAACGAATTCCGCCATTGAACGTGCCTCTGCAGGTGAAGCTGTGCGATCAGGTAGAGGAGCTCGAGAGAGGGTGTCAGCACAAACCATCTGCTGACCAGGGACGAACACCAAGCTGTAGCGATAGGGCATCAATGCGACCAGCCATCTCTGAAGCCTCGGTGCCACTTCGTCGAACGGCTTCTGGACGATAGAAATAAGCGGCTTGTGATCCGTAAACACTTGCACTTCTCGGCCTAGTACATACTGCCGAAAGCGAGTCAGGCCGAATACCACTCCCAGCATCTCTCGTTCCAGCTGAGAATAGCGTGACTCAACATCTGATAGAGAGCGACTGGCACAGGTCACTGGTACCCAAAAGCCACTGGTATTCTTCTGCCACAGGACTGCTCCCAAACCGTCTGGCGATGCATCACAGCTGATAGCAGTAGGGACGTCCAATGCTGGTTGAAAGAATGCCAACACTTGCAAAGCTGACGCTATACCAGCCTTTGCTGAGGTGAATGCCTGCAGAACTTCATCATCCACACTGAAAGTATCACGCTTTGCTAGCCTGCGCAGAGAAGCCGTGATCTGGGCCAAGTTCGGAATGAACTTTCCAAGGTACGTAGCCATCCCCAGGAACCGTCGCACATCAGAGATAGATTTCGGAGGGGCCAGCTCCTGGATGGCTTGTAACTTGTCATCATCTGGGGACAAGCCGGTCGCACTTAGCCAATGTCCCAGATACTTCACACGGTCCTGGTTCAGTCGGCACTTGGTCCAGTTGAGTTGGAGGTAAGCTGCTCGCAGTCGCTGCTTGACTGCTTCTAGCCGTGCATCGTGTTCTGCTTGATTAGAGCCAAACACTAGGATGTCGTCGATGTAGACGATGACTCCTGGCAGGCCTTCCAGAATGTCGGACACCACTCGCTGGAAAATATCAGGCGCACATGCAATACCGAAAGGTAAACGCTTGAAACGGAACAGGCCACAGTGCGATGAGAAAGTCGTTAGAGGCCTTGCTTCTTCTGACAAGAGTAGCTGATGGAATCCAGATTCCGCATCCAGAACTGAGAAGACCCCTGCGCCATCAAGCTGAGCTGTGATCTCGTCAACGGTGGGAAGAACGTTGCGCTCACGTGTAACTCTCTTATTCAGTTCTCTGTAGTCCACGCATAGTCGCAATGCTCCATTCGGTTTGCGGACTGGAACAAGCGGTGACACCCACGGCGTGGCTTCCTTGACGGGTTCAATGATATCCAACTTGGTCAGCCATTTCAACTCGGTCTCGATGTCAGCCCGGATACTGAAAGCTGGGCGTCGTGGTGGCTGGGCTAGAGGCTTTGAACCGTCTTCCAGAGAGATTTCGATGGGTGACACGTTCACCACGTTTGCTTGTGACAGGAGGTTCAGCTCCTTGATGACATCCTGTCCGAAGAGAACGGAGTGCTGACTGGCTGCTACCACGAAACAACTGCACTTCACGTTCTTGCCACCATGTGAAATGTGGACGTCAGCCATGCCCAAAGTCTCTACGACACCGCCATTGTACGCTTTCAGCAAGCGGTCACTCTTGCGCGTGGGCTTGATCACATCATCAGTGAGGATCGTCCGAGTTGCACCTGTGTCTAACAGTCCAGTGCACAGCTCACCATTGACTTTGAGTGTAGTCTGAAATGTTTTGTCACCTGCGAGTGCCGAGCTACTGACGGCGAAAGCGGAGTCGTACATGCGACTTGCATGCTCATACTCATCAGGCTCATCCTCTACTGGCCGGGCTCTTTCTTCGTGTCTTTCCACTTTGTTTGACATGCAGACCACTGCTTAATGCCCTCGCTTGCCACACTTGTTGCAGGTGACGTTGGCCGCCGGACAGTTACGCATGCCTGGTTTGTGACTACGTCCGCAGTATTTGCACTTCTTTCCTCTGATCCAGAACCAGCTGCAGAGACAGCTTGCACATGCTGGATGGGCACGGGGAACACAGGCGGTGCCTCACTAGCTCTGGTACTATCGTACAGTTTACTGTCAGTAATCGACGCTTGCAACGCCACTGACTTGGTGACGGCGTCGTTCAGGGTCAGCTTTGACTGTTTCAGCAGCTCCTTTCGAAGCTCAACAGAACGCAGGTCCACGATCAGCTGGTCCCGAATTTGGCAGTTGACAACGGTATCCACAGAAGTGGAGCTGAATTCGCAAACATCTGCCTTTTCTCTCAGCCGCCCAACGAACGAAGTCACAGACTCACCCTCCATTTGGCGGAGTTGGCGGAATTTGTGACGTTCAGACGTGACATTTGTTGACGGTCGAAAGTGTGCCAACAATACGTCCGTCAAGGCTTGGTACTCATCTCCAGGTGAGCCATCTTGTGTCTGCTCCACCGTGACAACCAGACCTTTCACAATGCGCCTCACTTCGTATCCAGCCAGATTCAAGAACAAGCGTTTCTTGTCAGCTGCTGCTGTCACTTCACTGATTGAAAGGAAATCACTTATGTCCTCGAGCCAGAGTTCATAATCAGCACCGACGTTGCTCGCAGCATAGTCAGGAATAAATTCCTTGGGCGTCCTGCCCTTTGTCATTTTCGTTCACTGCGCCAATGTAGACATCTATTCAGTCACTCACAAGACAGCCATTGTGCTAAACAGATCTTCTTAGTTCTCTATCAGAAGTGCGCCATGTCATCTCTCTCACGCTATACATAAAGCGGTACAAGCACGTGCATGCCTGCACGTGCGTACATAGTGCTACATACAACTGCATGTACGATACCTACAGAAGGCTTCGCCCAGGCCAAAAATCACACTTCAGAGGAGTACGAAAATTACAACTTCCAGATGTCCTCGATTGCTGGTCATGCCAGAGAGTGAGAGAGAGTGAGAGAGAGAGAGAGAGAGAGAGAGAGAGTAAGAGAAGAGAGAGAGAGAGAGAGAGAGAGAGTGAGAGAGAGTGATTGAGAGAGTGAGAGAGAGTGAGAGAGAGAGAGTGAGAGAGAGAAAGACAGAGAGAGAGAGAGAGAGAGAGAGAGAGAGAGAGAGAGAGAGAGAGACAGAAAGTGAGAGAGTGAGAGAGAGTGAGAGAGAGTGAGAGAGAGACAGAGACAGAGAGAGAGAGAGACAGAGAGAGAGAGAGAAAGAGAGCCAGAAAGAGAGAGAGAGAGAGAGAGAGAGAGAGAGAGAAAGAGAAAGAAAGAGAGAAGGGACTGGAGCGAGATTGAGGACGAACACAGCAAAACAGATTGACACAAAAACTAGCCCTGCTCAACTATAGTTCTGTGATAAGCAATGTTGTGAAAGTAGTCAAAAACACTTACTCAAACATTCTGGATTGTGACTCCAATTTCCACCGTTAGAACAAATGACTGTAGACGTATTAGATAATACATAGCCATTGTTACAGGACATGACTACTTTGCCTCCAATGGACCCGTTATAACTGAGAACCATGCTGTTGCTAGGTGTTGGAAATGCATTGCAATAGTTCGGTGTAACTGTAGGGAGAAAAAGCAATAGAAACAGAGAGAAAGGCTTTATATGTATGTTTTTTTTAAGAATTACATTGATATGGACAGGCAATTTTTACAAATGAGGAATGTCACGATTATAGCTAACACCATAAATAGTACTAAAGCCGCTGAAATCAGCACACTACATGACACTTGGTTGACAATTTGGAATTAGTTAATTTTATGGCCGAAACAGCTTGCTGTCTACAGCACTGGGTAAACATATAATAATATAAAAATAGAGCTTGCAAGTTCTGCAATCGAGTCCACCAACTAAAAACAAATTTTCAAAATTTAACAATCTAGCACGAAGCTAATCATCATGTGATGCTACACATGTTATTGCAATTGCAACAACCAAAGGCAGAAGAGAACAGAGACAACCGGCTAAGTCATTGTTGTAACGCTACGCTTCATGCACATAGCAAAGCCAAGGCAATCCTCAGACAAATGATAACCTATACATCATCTGGGTCAAAATTTACACCCAGGCAGGTAGCAAAGCAAAGCGCAAAGCAAAGGTAGTAAAGCATGCAGAGGTGGCAAAGCGCTACACTAGTGTGGGACAACATCATCTGCGCTGATGCAGCCACGCTCCTCAACGAAAATCAGAACTAGTATCAAAATGTCGACACCAGAATAAGTTGTAGCTCTCACGCTAGGGCACTGATATTTTGCATTGTATTTGTATTTAACTTTGTTATTTTACTTGTGCATTCCCAACAGACAATAAAGTATTCTTACAGGGTGCCCAAGATGAATGAATGATTGTGTTAAGCTCCTGACAAAATGAAGGCACTGGTGTGACTTAGTCACCTGCCTGCCGCCACCCGGCCCAGAGCCTGCCTGCCGTCACTGTAACTTGACTGTCACCTCTCCTTCTCTCCCTCCTCTTCACCTCCCGTCGAAAAACTGACACCATCCGCAACATGTCTCACCAACTAACGTATTACTTGAAATGTCACACTAATGTCGCGTACTACCTTTGCATGCTTTGCTACCTGCCTGGGTGTAATTGTTGACCCATGCCTGAATGCACTCCAGCATCGTGGCACACAAACCAGAGTAACAGGTTCTTGTTGGGATTGCAAGGAGAGTTCAGGAAATAGCAAAGCCCTGCCACAAGAGAACAAAGTAATACGATTGCACGCATGTGCAACGTGGCGGACACAGGGGCCAACTTTGAGCGCAGCGCAACGCCTAAAGGGCTCACAGACCTAGTAGAGGTCAAAAAGACAACACATGGGTCCACACGCACACAATTAGCATGCGTGGGCACCTTGAATATACTGTAGGAAATACACAGGCATGGTGTATGCACAGGTATTTTTACCCATACAGATTTATATAACCCATCATGGTTCCATCTGCTAGCAAACACTCAGTATGCATGATTCGCTCTTACATTCACAAGTAAAGTTAGAAAATACCCCAGTGCATATGGTGCCAGCCCTCGTGCAAGGTGACTCCACTATTGGTATGTTCTTGCAGCTCTGAGAACAATTGGCTTCGGTGAGACCTGCATAAGAAAAACCGAACAGAAACACCCACTGATGCAGTAAGATTCAAGGTAACATCGTAAGAGAACATTTATATTAACTGGTTAGCATTGGCCTCAACAGATTATATCAGCATTCAGAGGCGTCGGACACGCTGCGGTCACTACGGTATTGACCGTTGTTGTGAAATGATGTGTTGTTTTCCTGTGTGATGGCATTCCCCAAACTGTCTCGTCTAGTCGTGAGCATGTGTGATATGAGCATGCGCGATGTTGTAGTCGAGAGTCCTTTTGTCAGTCTTCTTGTTTGTCTCTGTCAGAGCAGTTTGCTTTTCCGTCTTGTAAATATAACATAATGTAACAAACAAGTCTTGTCCTTTGTGTCCTGCGTCCCGGGGAACGGAATGGCTGTGATTCCGTTACACCGTACCACTATTGGCTGCAGGTACCACGCGAATCAATAGAATGCCCTGATTGAGCTCTAAATTTTCAAATTATTCAGCAGATACCCTCCGCCTCGAGCATACCTCAGATGGCTGACCGTACCACCCTGTATTGCCTTCCTTCGCTCTCCGACTCACTGCTTCCTTCCATTCCTGATGAGTGTTGTACGAAAACCTGTTTGAATCCTTATTTTCTCTACACTATTCTTCATATTTTCATCGTTTTTTTGCAGATTATCTCCACCCTTTCACATTGCATGAATAAAGTGTACACAAATGTCGATTCAGCTTGTCCTATTGATTGCAGTTACCAAATTATTGTCTCTTCGCCGTTTGTTCATAAATGTGTGTTGAAATTATATTTCGTAAACCCTCTCTATTCCCCTCTACTGATCTATATAGTTTGGCCTCCACCAGTCCCATCTTTGTCCTGTCGCAGAGACAGTCATGCGTTCTGGTCCATCGTATTGAACGGAACATTGTCCCTTTGAAAACATCTCAGCAAGACAGTATAATTGGTTTACTTTCGCACGGGACATTCGCAATGGCATAGTACTTCCCAGAGCTTTGTCGACTATGCTTAGCAAATCCCCATCTTTTCTGCATATTCGTATTGGCTCAAGCTACCCATGGAAATGAAGACAATATTCAATATAAGACAGTTCATAGATCATGTTATTATACGTCATGCCAAGTTGTAGGCTCACTTGCCTCTTTTGCTAGCTTATCTCGCCGCTATCTACCATGGTCAACATAGTGATAAATTTCACCGCGCTGATGCGTTCTTCTCTTCCGATTATTATGTTCTTTCCTTTTTTCTTTCTCTTGCCATGGCTGGCTAACGCCCCCTCCTTTGCATTGGCTTCTGCCATTGGACGGTGAAATAAAATGAAAAATGAAATCAAAACATTATGTCACAGTAAGACCATGACGTGTTTTACTGGGTGCCAAAATTCCATGGCTCCATGATGATCAGAAGTGCCATACCAAGCAGGTTAGTTTTTGACATGTTCCTTCGCACTGCGACTTGAATTTTACGTCTTGCGAAATCAATTTCTTGTCGCAGGTAAACAATGGCACCGTATACCGATGAAATCTAATAGAAGCACACACGAGGCTTATTGTGGCTCTGTACTGGCCGACGTGGAGCGACAGCAATTGCCTAATTTCAGAACTCAGATTGAACATGATGTGCACTCCAAAACCTTTCCGGTTTGGAGCCACCTCTGTACAACGAAACAGCGAAACGAAAAATCGGGCTACTTGGAGACAACGGGCCAACACAAAGGAGTGGCTAAGTTCGATCGACTCTGGTCTCAGACCAAACTTCAACATGTCAGTTTCCTTCCACAAACATTTTTCGAGTGCACGATCCACGCTGATGATCGGTTCGGGTCTACACAATTTTGACTTTGAGCAGTCTCCTCTACATTCACCCACCTGTTCTTACACATTCAGTTATCACTTCGTTCAAACCGTTCCTATTCGAAACCGTAGCCTCTACCTCGTTGGCAAGATTTTGGAAAGTAATCCTAGCCATTTCAGAGTTGGCGTCAGCCGTCAACGCCAGTCGCTATGTCCAGGCCAAAATATCTGGTCCTCAGCTTCGAGTACGAGGTAATCAGCTATTATTTTACATTTTTCATTGTGTAACAAATCGAGTAAATTTGGATTCCTCGGGTCTGTCTAGGCCAACCTGAAGTTTCTTTTTTGGCCGTGTGGAGCTATTCTGCCGAGGCTTCACAGACAAAATATTGGCGGCGTGGAAGGTCGGGAGGCCTGTTGAAACGCGCCCAATTCAGGGGAATTGGATGAAATTCGTAAATTACGTGAATGTTGGCGTCCTCCAGGTCAGTCATTGTGTATATATCCCTAAAATCGATAGAGCAATGTTACAAAGTGGTAAACCTCGAAGTTAAAAAAAAAAATAATAATAATAATAGTAGAAAGGAAAAGGACATATGGAAACGAGTTAAGAGTAACTCTCCACCACTGTAACTAGATACTATATACAGTCAGAAAGTGCAACAACTAGGCACAAAACTGACAGAGTACTGAGACATTCGACGTCCTGACACCTAGCTTCAACACATCTCCGTAGCGCTAACCGACAGCCTTCCAACTTGGAAGGTTCAAGGTTATGGAAAGACCAAAGAGGGGAAGGCAAGCGCAACGAAAACGAGCACAAGCTACAGTCCCAACGGAACAAAGAATGTCGATTGTCACTGGACGATGACGAGACCAGTAGGCGATTTGACAAAGCGGTCTAACTACAATTCGAGGCAGCAAAGCAGCACACCACCCAACTTGGGTGGGTCAAAAATATCAAAGATAAGTTAAGAAGGGGGAAGCTTTGGGACTGTAGCTTGTGCTCGTTTTCGTTGCGCTTGCCTTCCCCTCTTTGGTCTTTCCATAACCTTGAACCTTCCAAGTTGGAAGGCTGTCGGTTAGCGCTACGGAGATGTGTTGAAGCTAGGTGTCAGGACGTCGAATGTCTCAGTACTCTGTCAGTTTTGTGCCTAGTTGTTGCACTTTCTGACTGTATATAGTATCTAGTTACAGTGGTGGAGAGTTACTCTTAACTCGTTTCCATATGTCCTTTTCCTTTCTACTTTTATTATTGGCTCAATACCCGAGTTTCAAATAATAATAATAATAATAATAATAATAATAATAATAAACCTCGAAGTTCCAAACTCATGGTGGTGATACATGGTTGGGAAATGTCTTCTATATTATTTGTTATCACTCTCTTATTATTGACCCCCACAGAAACTTGTGATCTCTAAGCGGACAAATATCAGCATATATTGACCGCTAATATTGACCACTTATTATTGACCACTTCGCCCGAGGACTTAGAACTTTTTCCTCAACTTATACAAAAAAATCAGAACTGAAAGAAGAAAAATCTGAAGCCAAACGTTTGGGATACAAACCCAAAGTGTCAGATTCTCAGTCAAAGAACTTGGGGAACATACTACAAGTGACAACTGAAAACTTCTGTTTATAGAGAAGTAATGTCCAATGTAAACGGCATATGTACATACTATGTACTATTACAATAGTATTCCTTTCTTCCTATAAACACAGCTAAAAACAGTTTAGGTATGCTATGTCGTGATAAATCTATTATTGCCCTCATGATCGGTCAATATATGAAATATAGACCTCGTAAAAGACCTCGGGGGACCTCGGTCTTTTACTCGTTCTATATTTCATATATTGACCTCTTTAATCGTGCAATAAGTATAGATTATAGACCGGTTAGGAGGTCTATACAGGATATATAGACCGAGTAAAAGACCGAGGTCCCCCGAGGTCTTTTACGAGGTCTATATATCCTGTATAGACCAACTATGAGGTCTATAATCTATTTATCGTGTTCTCCACGCAATAGTTTCTCTTCATATACGACATATCCTTGTAATTCTAGTATTATACTATAGCCTATACCGCATTGTACTGCATTGAAAGTCAAGATCATTATTTAAACTAGGTTCAGCATCGGTAGCACAGTGGCTGGGTGGTAAGGAAGAGTGACTGAGATTCACAAGGTTGTGGGTTCTAATCCCATCTTGTGTATTTCTGCTTTCTTCAAAAATTTCTTTTTCTAAGTTGGAGAGAAAATTTCTAAGTCCAAGAAGTTCTATTAAAGGAGTCAAATATAAGTAGTCAAATATATCGCGTATTTGACTGCTTAGTCAAATACGCGATATATTTGACCGCTTAGGTATCAGGAAAATTAGTGGGGTCAAATACTAAGAAGGCGATAATAGATACTTATCACTCTTCTATATCGACCTCCACTAATTCTCGTGATCCTTGACTGGTCCTATATTACCCATATCGCCGCAATATCGACCACTTAGGCCGAGTAAAAAAAATTACTAGATGATCGTCCTTTTTTTTGGAAAAATCGGGGAGGGCGGGAGGATTTTATTTTTATTTTTTTACTTTTTACCCTCTCATGCACACAGTGTACACAACAACATCAAGGTTTTTTTTCTCTTTTTTTCTTTTTTTTTCTTTTTTTCTTTTTCTTTCTTCAGCAGATCGATACTGACGTTGTGATATACTAGTAGTATGTGGTCCATATAGTAAAGAAAGTATTAAACAAAGAGCAGTTGCAGTAGAGACAGTGTAGATGATGCACACACTTGGCTCAACATTCACCTATTCAAGTTCAACGTAAGTCTCTTGTACTACTACGTAGTAGGCATTGCTAGACTATCCCTATCGGAACGCATCAGCAACTGTTGCATCGGCAGGAACGACGCAGCCATACCACGACTTCAACACTTTCGTTGCAGCACGAATTTGCAAGAGAACGAAGGGCATCGCAACGACAGCACCAGATGATTCGAAACAGAGGACAACAACTCACTCTACAGATCTGCGTCAAGCTGGAACACAGTCAAGAACTTCGACATCGCGAAGCAACTACCAACAATTTACTTTTGACAAAGTAAGTTCGTCACGGAAAACGCGTGCACATGTTTCCTGCATCCGCGATCGGTAAAAAACCAACGATTTCGGCAAAAACTCACGATTTAAAAAATAAAATATTTCTTGGGG